GCTAAGGGCCTTGGTGAGGAGGTCCGCGTGTTGCTCCGTTGTCGGGACAAACTTGACCGAAATATTCCCCGATCTAAACAATCCGCGGATGAAATGAAACCCCACGTCGATGTGATTCGTGCGACCTGAGCTGGGAGGGTTCTGCACCAACGCTATGGCCCCCTGGTTGTCCTCAAGGACCTGAATGCTGCTACCATTGGTCTCTGGGGCAACAAACGAAAGCACAGCACGCACAAACAACGCCTCCTTGACACCCTCCCCGGCAGCAATGTACTCGGCTTCCGNTATCGCACGCTCAGCCTTAACAATCTTATGCGATTTGCCCCCGCACCCAGCGGGGAGCCTCAGAAAACCCTCCTCGTCTAGCGTAGCGTGTGTATACGCCTGCTTCACATCCCAGTGATTGAGGTTCATGCCCTTCTCGTTCGCTACCGCAAGCATCAGCTTAATGGATGCGGATGAGGGGCAAGGGGAAGACGAATGGAAATAATCGACGTTCGGGATTTGCGAAAACCCCCTGGCAACCAGATGCGCTTTGAGCGTGTCTATCTTCCCTTCCTTGTTGGTCTTCCAACTAAAACACCACTTTGAGCTCACAGGCCTGCGCCCCTCTGGCGCACCGTCTACGAATGAAAACGTCCCCGTGCCCAAGTGCCCTTCAAACTCTTCCCTCATGGCCTGTTCCCACCCCTCTCGGTAAACAGACTTGGCAACGCCGGCTACAGTCATGGGTGGGGCTTCTACATCGCTAGGACGCTTGCCTCTGGGGGATTCACCTAGCTCGTGGGACGTCAGAGCCGTCTCTAAGGCGTCTAGCGAGTTGAGCATGAGGTCCACCGTACCCAGCAGGAATCCTCCGCCTCTTGGCGCGCAGCGTGGGCCTCCTGCGCGCGCTCGGACAGCAACTCTCGCACCACCCTCGCCTCTAGCCCCTCCGCCACGTGAAGTACTGCCGAGAGCATCCAGCGGGTGAACTCCTCCGTGCTGCTGTCGGGCAGGCTCGCCACCGAGGCGAGCAGGGCTTCGG